CAATTTTACGAGTCGATCGCGCGAGCAAGTAAGAACGAGATCGTTCCGACGTACCGCCTCTCCCGACCTTCGTTTTTATTCGCGTAATAATAATAATCCGTAACGCGCGATCGCACCCGACAACGACTTTCGGACCATAACGGGGCCTCAGTCGGCGACTCCCCTCCCCCCCTGCCAATCGTGTCCCCCCTCTCCCCCTCTCTCCGTAGCAGAACAAATTTATCGACGACGTATCGTTTCGCCCAATCATCCAATTAAATGCCCACGCGCGCGTCATCCGATTCATTGCTCGTCTTTACTGGAAAAAGAGACGGCGGCCGTTGATTGGCCCGCCCACGTATCATCCGCGCGCCGTCCCGGACGCGCGTTGCGGATGATGCGCCGGCAGATTATTGACGATGAAGTATCGCGCGCTGTCAACTCGCCGTGAATTATCGACCTCGCCCGACCCCTCCGGGGACGCGAATCGCGGAGGTAGGTACAATCGTTCTTGCTATCGGCGCGCGAACGGATGTCGGCCGATATCCGTGCGTAACGCGCTCCGTATTGTACGGACGATGCGCCCCCCCCCCCCTTCTCTTTCCCTCGCACGATCGCATGCAACGCGGCGATGCGATTTCTACTCCGAGGCGCCGATCGCGCCGATTCTCGACGCCGCCGGCGATTAGGAGATTTTCATCGGTCCAGAATCCCCGCCTCCCCCCGGCGCTGATAATAACGCGGGCGGCGGCGTCGATTCGTCCACGCACGGAGAAAAAAAAGTTCCTTCAGATTTAGTACTTTTATTTGTTTGAGGAAAAATTTTGCCGTCTCATTCGAGAGAACTCGATTAATTAGCGGGGAGAATTTCTATTGTTTGAAATAATAACTTTCCGACCGAGTAAAGTATCGTTCGGGTTACGATAAGTGTGCAAAGTGAAGCGAATAATTTCTTTATGGGAAAATTATCCTTCGTCCCGGACGAATTTTTTATTTGAGATAAAGACACATGCTCGATGAAAAGTCTAACAATCGTTCTAATTAGTCGAGACATGGGTTTCTTCGGAGCATGCCGATGGTGAGATCTGTTTGGATGCGATCGAATTAATGAAATTCGAAGGAATCGTTTTCTCAGGCGTTTCGTCGGTTTGGCGAGAGAGATTGCGACAGATGAAGCGGTGAGCCGCGACTGATGCCGTTTGAGACGCCGACAAACGCGCTCTCGTTGCATGATCGCTTTCGCCGGCAACGCTTTCGTCTGCGAGATGTGCGAGAGATCCGCGTTGACTTGGGATTAATGAATTTCCGCGTGTATGCGCGCGTGTTAGGATAGCGAGAGGCTCTTCTGAGCCTCGGGATTGGCTCGGCGATACTGTGCGCACACTTGACACAGGCACGCGTGTTTCAGCATATTTACACGCGTGGCGTGTATCATTTTTTCGACGATACACTTCCCTCACGAAGTGGAAATATAACTACCGGATGGAGCGTGATCGGTAAGCCGGGTAATTCAATGAACGATTCAACAAACAGTTTCTAAACTCACCTTCGTCCTCCCGCTGTCGACGAGTGGCGCGGCCGGTCGTTCCTGGCGCCGATTCGTCATTTCGTCTGAACCTGCCGGCAGAAATGCCGAGGACATAATTAGATTTGCCGACGACACAAACCAATGAGAGAAGAAACGGTCGGTTCCACCGAAATGATGAATATTAATATTGAAAAAAATTTTATAAATCGAAGCTGTTGAAATTAAATTTAACACAATCGTTTTATTATGACTATATTAATTATTATCCATTTTCGACGCCGGAACATATTTCATTGTTGCCTTAACAACGTTCAACATAAAGTCATTATCACTGCTATTACAGCGGCGGAGCGCTCCCTGCTGAAAAATGCTTTCCCCGGCCCGAGTAATTACTGCACTGCGCCGATTACAGTCACAAATACACCGTGGACTTTTTCCTCCCGGTGTCGGAATATCGCGAAATGTGCGAGGAAAATCCTCCGGCTCCCGCGAACCGACCCGCGAAATCCATCGGGAGTGTTGACGGACGCCGCTTAAAGAGGATGACGTCGCGTCGGACTAAATTACAAAGAAACGATCTCGCCCGGTCGGAGCATCACCGAGGATATCCTTCCGCGCCACTAAGCGCACCCGTCGCTCCGACGCATCTTCTTTAAGCAGTCCGGCGATTATGTGTGACAAATCGATACAGCTCCGTACCCGGTCCCGCTCTCTCTCTCTCTTTCTCTTTCTATCTCACGAGTATACGGGCACCCGAAAGCGGAAGATACTCGAATTGAATTCAAATGAAGCTTTTCACCGCGCACCTGCGTGCGTAGTGGTGCTTCGTTTATACATTCATGCAAATCGTCTTTCTCTCGGGTTCTCCTGTCATAGAGCCTGTGATAAAACCTTGTTAATTGAAGCTTTCAGCGCGAAACTCATGTGTGTGTATATGTGTGTTGTTCGAGCTCTCATCTCGGGAAACATCTTGAGCCGTCGTGTTCCCTTTTTCCTCGCATTTCGAACACGTGAAAGAGACGAACGTGAAAAGTGCGATCGCGCTATTCGATAGCCGGGGATAACCGATTCGTTTTTTTTTGTTTTTGTTCGAGCAGCTCGCCGAAATAAAGCTTGTATTACGTCGGGAAAAAATATTTTCAACGCCGAAATGATATCGAATAGCCGTGGGTCGGCGAAAAATAAAAATGAAAAAAACCTTTAACGATTGCGGAGTTCCGCTGGATTTATTACCCCTCGCCTCCTCCCTCGCCCTCCTGACTCCCGTTGGCTCGCGATATCCGTGGAATCAAAATAAAAGGGGAAAAGAGATGAAAATTTAATTGCGTATTGTTTAATGTGTTATACACGCGCAAGTAAATTGTGCGTGGCCGCAAAGCCGATACGCATTATCTTCTCCTCCGCGGAGACTCTCCACGGCGTTATATCCTTTTTTTTCTCTCTCTCCTACTCTCGCGGCGAGAGCATCGAAAAAATATAACTGGGTCGGAGAAGTGTCTCGCACTCTTTGTGTATGTCTAACATAAAGCGTCTTTGTGCTACGTGCATAAAGGGTGCGCCGATGAAAGGTCGTAACACGCGGTACGAATGCGTCACGCGCTTGACATTTACACAGATAGATCCAAAATACATTGCGAAAAAAAAAAAGAGAGAGAGAAAATCGGATAAAAAGAACCATGTTTCATAGAGTTGCGCAAATTTCGTCGTGCAAACTGTGATTCGGAGTCAAGCTTGCGGATCAATCGAGTCAGACCTGATAGCCTGATTCGGGAATTTCAACTGCCAAATTTAATCAACGATAAAATTTATACTTTTTCGGGTATATCGATATACGTATGTGCGCGTTTAGATACGTTAAATTACCTCTTTTAATTCAAATATTACCGACATTACCGATATAACGAATATTGTTGTGAATAAATATTTAAAATAAAATTCTACAAAACAAACAGAAACTTGGTCACATAATTGGTAAATATCATATTTACGTCATTTTCAAATCAAATTACTTCCTTCGGGCTGTAATAAATTCGTCTCTGGAAAGATTGACAAGCCTGAAACGTTGTAGCACAATTGCAAAATCAAACGAACTCACTGAGTGAAGTTCGATTATTAACGTATCATCGAGACCCGACAATCCCGAAATAACAATTCACGATGTAGACACGTCGCTAAACTAAAAAGCACTGAAATCACGACGACGAACATTTAAATACGTTAAATCATTTTCTCCTAATTCAAACTTCGCGATTCAAACAAAATGCAACGAACATTATCGAGGCAAAACATTCATGACAAAATCCCGCAAGAAAAGAGGAATTAGCCGGATGTCATATTTACGTCACTTTCAAACCGAACGGTTTCCTTCGAAGTTCGATAAAAACCCTGAAAAAAACCCGCTCGAGCCTGAAACGCTGCTGTACAACGATCGACGCATCGTCGACGCGACAATCCGGCAGAAAGAAAAAAAGAAAGCAATCCGCAAGATGAACACATCGCTCCGTCTGAATCGACTGAAGCTGCGAGCGCCGTAGGAGAGTCGCAAAGCTTGCGTGCTCCAACGGCGCTTTCGCCACCGATCTCTCTCTTTCGCGCGCCGATCGCGGGCTCATCGGCGGCGCCCACGGGCGTTTTTTGCACCGGATCTTCCGACCGTCGTCGTCGACGTTAATTCGCTCGCCGGCGACCGTCGGCGGCGTATAAAAGGACCGTAGTGGTACGCGACCGGGAGCAGTGCGGCACGGCGAATGTGTCCGGTATCTCGCGACATCCTCTCGTCTTCCGCACGAGGCGAACAACAGGCGATCTCGAGCGATCGATCGATCTCGCGTAACGCGCCGTTACGTTACGTGGTGCGGGAGGGGGGGGGGGGGGGGGGCCG